GGATGCTACACAATGGCAGACATAGCCCTGTACCAACTTTTTGAGATGTGTTGCTGCCATCAAGTTCTAAATGAATTAATATTTTTCATGAAATGGTAAAATGTCTCACTTTCAATATCTGATATGTGTTCTACGTTCTATTGTGCATAAAATATGGGAGATTTGCAAATCATTGCATTCTGTTTTTATTTACATTTATTTACATTTTACACAGCATCCCAACTTTTTTGGAATTGGGATTGTACAATAACAGTGCAGTGAATGGAAAGATGCAGTTCAAGTGGCAGTGTGGAGTTCAGCAGGGTCACAGCCTCAGGGAATAAGCTCTTCCTGAGCCTAGTGGTGAAGCAGCGGAGGCTTCTGTAACGCCTGCCAGATGGGAGGAGGGTAAAAAGTCCATGGTTAGGATGAGCAGCACTTATGGAAAATGTTCTCAATGAAGAGTAACTGGGGACTTGTGATGCGTTAGGCAGTTCTCACCACCCGCCGGAGCGCTTTGTGGTCAGACGCGGAGCAGTTGCCGTATCACACTAAGATGCAGTTTGTGAGTATACTCTCTATGGTACAACGGTCAAACTTCACCAGTACCCCGGGACACGGGTGAGCTTTCATGAGACTCTGTAGGAAGTAAAGACGCTGTTGCACCTTTTTGACCATGATGGAGGAGTTTAGGGACCAGGTGAGATCATCCAAGATGTGTATACCAAAAAACTTGAAGACAGCTTCGCTGATGTAGATGGGGGAGTGTGCCTGGCTCCTACGTCTCCTGAAGTCCAATATGATCTCCTTGGATTTCTGGGTGTTGAGTGCCAGGTTGTTGTCATCACACCATGCGGCCAGGTGCCTCACCTCATCCCTGTATGCCGTCTCATCGTCACCTCTGATCAGACCTATCACCGCGGTATCATCCGTGAACTTGATTATGGAATTAGAGCCATGAACAGGAACACAGTCATGGGTGAACAGGGAGTACAGAAGAGGGCTCAGCACACAGCCTTGTGGCACGCCGGTGTTCAGGGTCACTGTGTTAAATGCTGAACTGAAGTCAATAAACAACATTCTGACATATGAGTTTTGACAGTCCAGGTGGGTCAGTACAGTGTGGAGAGCCGCAGAAATGGAGTCCTCCATTGACCTTTTGCAGCAGTATGCAAACTAGTGTGGGTCCAGTGTAACAGGCAGACAGGGCTTCAAATGATAAAGAACTAGTCTTTCAAAGCACTTGGAAATGATGGACATGAGTGCGACAGGGCGGACGGCACTCAGAGCTGAAGCACTAAATGCTCTGGCACTGGCACAATGGTGGCGGTCTTGAAGCTAGTTGGGACAACTGCCTGGGCCAGTGACAGATTGAAAATGTCCATGAAGACCCCAGCCAGCTGCTTAGCACAGGCTCTTAGCACACAACCAGGTGCTCCATCAGGGCCAGCTACCTTTCATGCATTTACCTTGCTCAAAGTGTGACAGACATCTGCAGTGGAGAGCGTAAGTGGCTGCTCATCAGGTGGTAAATGGTTTTTGGAGAAGACCACCTTATTTCCCCTGTCGAAACAAACATAGAAGTGGTTGGGCTCATCAGAGAGTGAGGCACAGTTGGTAGGGGGCACAGTACCGGTTGGTTTAAAGTGAGTAATTGACTTTATGCCTTGCCACATATGCCGGGGGTTAGAGGAGTTGAAGTGCTCTTCAATCTGCTGTTTGTAACAGTGTTTAGCCTTTGTGAAACCTCTTCTGAGGCTGGCTCTGGCTGAGCTGTAAGCCACCTGGTCTCAAGACCTAAAGGCAGCATCTCTTGCTTTGAGCAGAAGGCGAAACTCTCTGTTCATCCAGGGCTTCTGATAAGGGAAGGTCTTTATTTTTTTGTGAGTTGTCACTCTGTCCACAGAGCTGTTGATATGATATAACGCCCCTCTAGTTCCAACACATTATTAGAAACATCGCTGCTTAGCCAAGTTTCTAAAAAAAAAAACATGAAAATGCAGTCCATAAGCCTTTTCTGTGCGAGAGTTCAGATCTTTAATTCGTCCTGCTTGTTCAGCAGAGACCGCACATTGGTGAGGAATATCCTAGGTAGCGCTGGCCAGTGTGGGTTTAGCCTTAGCTTAGCACGCAGACCTCTGCACTTACCCCGTCTTTGTTTACGGTCTTGACGCCGGTGCCACGTCCAAATGAGTGTTTTTACATTTGTCTTTACATGCCATTGAATGAAATCTAAACATAAGCCAATCGGCCCAAAAACGAATATTTGATGTGAGGTGTAAACAGACTTAATGTGATGGACTGATTTGTGAAAATTAAACCAAAGAGCTAGTGTGCCAGGACCTTCTACAAAAAAACTCAGAAGGTATCAAACTCACTGCACTGCCCACCTCCACTTCTTCTGGTTCAAATCTGAGTAAAGCCCTTGTATCTGACAAAGGGAAAAAAATTAAATTAAAAACTTCTTTCAAAAAATGGAATCAAAAGCTTGTTTCAAAATTACTTTAAAATTGGCACCCCAAACTATATATTTTCAATTTAGTGCCATACTAAACGAACCAGTTGAGAGTTGGGAGGGTGTTTCTTGGGCTTTAATGTTTAGTGTTTTTTTAATACTTTCAATGAGGTTTCTTGATCTACTGTTTTCTATTACTGCCAATATATAACATTGACAAGTCAAACTACGCATTTTAGAGGTCATTTAATTTTTATAATTTGAAACAGCCTTTAAAAAACTGATGCCAAAAAACATCATTTTCCAGTTACTCTGCCCACTCCACGCATCTCTCTCAGCCCTATCAATGAGGTCACATGGGGAGAGAAGGTTGACATCACCTGCACTGTAGAAACCCAGTTCACAGGTGGATCCTTCACTCTGATACAGAACTCTGGGTCGTTTAGAGAGGCCAAGAGTGGAACCTCCGTCACCTTCAGTTTACCAAAAGTGGACTTTGTTCATGCGGGGTCTTACTACTGCCAGTACCAGACCAGAGTGTCCAGTCGTGATTTCCGCTCTCCACAGAGCAGTTCTGTTCGTTTCTCTGTTGTAGGTAAGACTAATTCTTTTTGGACTTTTTGTCATCAATTCTCGGCTAATACTGCAGCTATTTAAAAATGTTCCTCCTGTGCTCATCTGGGATAAATAACAGTTGTTTTAGGGAGAAGTCCAGCCTTCCATGTCTTGTGTTTTCTTGTTTATCCTCTCACCTGCTAGTCAGCTCTCAGCAGACACATTTCCGCGTACGTAACTATGTGCATATATGGAAAATGCATTCCATTTACACTTGTGTTGAATGTGGTCAAGCTCCATCTTTGACCACCTCCAAACGTGGTTTGAGCAATTCGATCGTAATCAGATCATAATGCGTCCAAGGTGGAGTGAATGTGATTTGATTACCAAAAAGGTAATAAACACACTTAATGTAATGGATTGATTTGTGAAAAAGAAACCAAGGAGCTAATGTGCCTCTACCTTCCACAAAAAACTAAGAAGGTAGCAAACTGTGTGCACACACGTCAGATTGGTTCAAATCTGAGCATTGCCCCTTCATTTGCCAAGGGGAAAAATAAACTAAAAAAACTGATCTTATCTCTTCTTTTGAAGAATGAAATTGGAAGCTTGTTTCAAATCATTTCAAAACTGGCACCCCTAATCTATATGTTTTCAAAGTGGTACCATAATAAACCAACCAGCTGCGAATTGGAGGTTGCTTGTCAGACTTTAATGTTCAGTCAGTACTTCTGTGTTTTTAATGAGACTTTGTAATCTTTTGTTTTCTAAAATTTATTTAAAAAAAAATCAAACTAGGTATTTCAGAGGTCATTTAATTGATATAATTTGGACTAACCAGGAAAATCTCAAGGCAATTATCAATTTCCGGTAACTCTACCCACTCCAAGCATCTCTCTCAGTCCCACCAAAAAGGTCACATGGGAAGAGAAGGTTGGCTTCACCTGCTCTGTAGAAACACAGTTCCCAGGTGGATCCTTCACTCTGATACAGAACTCTGGGTCATTTAGAGAGACCAAGAGCGGAACCTCCGTCACCTTCAGTTTACCAAACTACTGCCAGTACCAGACCAGAGTCTCCAGTTGTGATTTCAGCTCTGGGGAGGGAAGGTTAACATCACCTGCTCTGTAGAAATCCAGTTCACAAGTGGATCCTTTACTATGATAGTGCTCTGGGTCATTTAGACCCCATTTACACCTGGTCACTTCATTCGTCTCAAATATTAAGATATTCCATCCCACACAGCAATTGGATTTCAGTCTGACTAAAGTCTACACTACACAATTTTTTGCTCGATTTTAACCCCAATTTGTCCCTTGCGACAAATTTTCACAACCTAAAGCAATTTTCCAGGCCACTGACAATGTGGATGGTCTGGTGAAGTGAATCTTTAGCCCTCTGATCAAACTCTGAAGTGATTGGAGGCCCTCCGATTTTATCAAACATGTTTGATCATTTCAACTCCAAATGTCCTGTAGTGTGAGGTCAGACATGTCCTCAGTTAGTGATTCAAACAACAGCCAATCAGAGAGCTAGGAGAGCAGAGAAACAAGCAAAGAGATGCACATGCACACCACTTGAATAGCGAAGCAGAGCCAGAGGAGCTGCATGTAAAACACAGTCAGATAAGAGCCGTTATCAGGTTTATAATGTCTGGATCTAGACCTTAGGTTACTCTCTTTACAATTTCAAGCCAGCTGCCAGTGTTTGATGAAATATTTCTCCAGCTCACAGTGTGATATCAGCGTTTCTCGTGTAGTATACGCCCAGCCTAACCAGAGACACGTGACCACCACATTTAAATGCATGTGGCTAAAATCTTATCAGAACACAATCCAAATACATTCATGAAGTCTTACTACTGCCAGTACCAGACCAGTCATGATTTCAGTTCTCCACAGAGCAGTTCTCTTATTTTCTTAGTTGTGAATAAGACGCATCATATTTTCTTGGCCATCAAATCTTGGCCATCCATCTGCAACTCTCTATGTGAGTTCTTCTTGTTTTCCAGTGAACTTGCTGCAGCCCCATATCTCCTTCAGTGCTCCTGATGGAAGGTCCCACTGGTGGCTTCAAGGGTCAGAGGCGACCAGGGACTACAGCTTCTCCATCATCTGCTCCATTCAACCACAATATCCAGGAGGCTCCTTCCACCTGAAGTTCAGTGGATCCAACATCACCAGAACTCAGTCAGCTGTTAACCACTCAACTACCTTCTTCATTCCTGAGGCAGATTTTGCCGACCAGGGAAACTACAGCTGTGTTTATGAAGTAAACGTGTCTTCACGCACCTTTAACTCTCCTACCACTGAACTCTTGGCTGTCACTGTGAAAGGTACAGTAACTAGTCTTATTTGATTTGTTCTCTGTTTAAAGCAAGAAAGTCTTGATGGTGATTTCCTTTGCAGCGTCACCAGTTCCCTTCATCGCTTCTGGAGTGACAGCAGGACTGTTACTCATATTAGTGCCAATCATCATTTTCTTCATAAAGAGAAGCAAAAACCAAAAAGATCATCAGACGGCTGTGAAGACGGATCATAGACTTCGTGAGCACTTTCTGTTCTGAACTAAACTAATTACAGTATTTTCATTATGTCTTTTGAAAACTAAACTGAAGCTCTTTGTTGTTGACTAGTATTCGCATAACATCCAGTGTAGATGGTGGTGCAGAGACATTTACTGCCATAAAATCTGGCTAACCAGTTAATTTTTCCCACACAATCCTTCTGTAGGTGCCAGAAACACATATGGGGTTACCGGAGGAAATAATGAGATGGATGATGAAGATTATGAAAATGCAGAAACTGTTTTTCACCAGAAAGAAGATTCAGATGATTCTGATGAGGACTATGTTAACGTAGATGTTGATGTCAAGAATAAGGCAGTGGCCAATGATTATGGAGGTGAACACATTTTTATAAATTGTGCAGAATAGTTCAGGGATTAAATCATTTCAAAAATGCAAATTAGGCTTTTTTTTTTCATTTTTTCAGTAAAAGTATTTTGCCAATCATTCCTTAGGTGCCAAAACCACATGTGGGAATGAGACGGATGATGATGACGACGATGACGACGATTATGAAAATACAGAAGTCACTGTCCAGAAAAAGGATCAGAGGTCAAACCAGAAAGAGGATTCAGATGTGTCTGACGAGGACTACATCAACATAGATGAAGAAGCAGAGAAAATGGCCGTGGACAACGACTATGAGGAGGAACAAATTTATGCAAACACGGATTAGTATGGTAAACTAAACAATTTCACGTGTGTCACTGTAATTCAAACTCACCTCAACTGCATCAGGACAAAAATAAGCAAGTCTCAGTCTGTAAAATTCAGTGGTTGTTTGCATGATACTTCTCAAATATTCATACAACACAACCTTATTTGTCTGTAACAAATGGCAGCGATATACAAACCTTCTGTGTCCTCACAAATTGAATATTCTTGTATACTTTGTACCAACAGTGACAGAAAGCATGCCCACAAAGTGACATCTACCAGAGAAATATTTCAAGATGATTCTTTGAGTTCAAAGCATCAGACAAACAGAACAGACATTTAAAGTGAACCTATTAGTGTGAACATTTAAACACACAATACTGTGTGCAAGTGTGGTGCCAAAGACCTATTCTCACCAAGTACGATTTTTTGGGATGTTTTTTAACACAAAGTCTGACACTCTAAGAATGTGGGAGGAGAACAGAAGAGAAATGATAAACTTGTAATAGTGATTATAAACTAAAGTTTTTTTTAAGCAATGCAAGTAAAAGGCAGACACACTGGACTCATGAACAGACTAGGATACACCCCCACAGAGGTACACAACATAATGATATTTGGAGGCAGTGGCGGCTTAGTGGTTAGAGCTCTGGACGATTGATCACTGGGCTGTGGTTTCAATAAATGGGTCTAAATTACCACTGTTTGGGCCCCTGAGCAATGCATTTAACCCTCCCTCCTCCAGGGGCCCCGTATAATTGCTGAGCCTACAATAAAAATACTTAATTACTTGTTATCTGTTCTGCTGCTACTGAGAGAATGGATCTCAACTGGTCAGCCTGATTTTTAAACGCTGGATCTGATGAGTAATGTTACAGCAGTTTTAGACTCAATGTAAAAGATGGTGTTAATATGTATGTGTTCGTTTTCAAACCCTGCTAAGTGTTTATTTTGTCCATTAAAATGAACTTAGTGATCCCTGGTCGCGAGTTCGATCCCTGGTGATGCTACAGCCATCCGTAGCAGGGAGTCCAAGAGAGCACAATTGGCCTCGCTCTCTCAGGGTGGGTAGGGTGTCCCCCCCGTCTCCCCCCATCACCCAATTCAATGCTAGTCAGTGCAGGCGTCTGTAGCTGACATAACAGATCCGGCGGTTTGGCACCTTCCTCCGAGCGCGTTCAGCTGTCCAATGACGTTGCATGAGCGGCAATGCGAAAAGATGCGGTGGTGCTTCACAGGTCTCGGAGGAAGCCTTCACCCTCCTAGTGTTGGTAGTATCATGTGATTGGGGGAGTCCTAACTAGCGGGTGGAATTAGAGACGACTAAATTGGGGAGAAAATCGGGGGGAAAAAAAAAAAGCAGATAACGACACCTACCTTACTTGAAATGTGATTAAGCCTATCGTGCTTTGGCTAGTTTCCTATACATTACTTGAAACGTAACAACTGGTCAGTCACGACATTGCTAGGTTAGGATGTACTGAAACTAGCAAACTGTGCTGGACTCATTCAGGACTACAGTAGGCCACACCAAGTAAGAACACTTAACCTCAGTTAACAAGTAGCATCATAAGTAATTAAATTATAATCCAGACATGAGGTTTTACTTTCGTAAACTTATTTTTTGTTATGTATATAGTGTTTCACAGAAAGTCAGTATAGGAGGGTGACTGCATCAACAATAGTGATAAATTATGTTTGATATTAAACTATATTTGACTGGTGAGACTACGAAAGGCTTGAAGAAAGCTATTTTGAATGTCTGTTCGAAGCATCAATATCTACATTTAAACCAGAGCTTAAATGCTAATGCTTGGTACTAACAAAACATAGGACTAACTGAACAAAGGCTACTTATAAAAAGCTTCTTACTGCATTAAACACTGCAATGTAATAACATGCACAGCTAGCAAATACTTATAACGGTATTAAACTGTAAATAAACTGAAAAGGTAAATGAAAAACTAGAATGTTTTATTTCATGGTTTCATGTTTCTGTTATCAGCTCATTTTCCTTCATCTATCCAGTTCGAGAACCAGTGAGAATCAATGTGAATTTCAAATAAAAGTTAAGAAAATAGGATGAATGTACAATGTGTAATGTACAAATAATGTATATACTGTGTACTGTATTATATAAATGTAGGATAAATGTAAAAATGTAGGATATGAGCACTTTCAATTACAAATATTCCAAATAGGCATCTGCCTCACATTATACACTTTTGCTTTTTGCAGATCTATATAAAAAAAGCTGTTCAAGTAATGCTGACTGTTTCACCAGCTTTACAGTTCTCAAAAAGTTGCAGGCACTTTTGATGTTAGCAACTACTAGTTGCTAGTTACTAGTTTTATCACCTGTCTGTAAAGCACTTTGAGCTGCCATCGGCATGAGAAGTGCTATATAAGTAAAATTATTATTATTATTATTATTATTAGTAGCAGTACTATTTCATTACTTTCTAACATTATTTTTAATGCACTTTGTACAACAACGAATGGGGCTTTGGTAATGTGTTTTTGTATTTGTGTAAAGCAGAGTTATTTTTTCTGTTTTTTTATTGCACTATTGTAATCACAATTTATGTCTTCTTACACTTCATCTTACTTTATCATCACAACGATATCCAACAATTTCATTAAACATAGCTTTTAATGAGGATATTGTGCAACCCAAGTTGGCAATGATAGAGTATCCTGACTGTTATTCAAATTAAAGGCTGTAGATTCTCCACAAGGGGGAGCTATTAGTCACTTTTATGGAAGAAACCCACAACAAAAGGATCTCAGGAATACATGTTGCACCCTGCATAAGACTAGTTTTAATGCTAACAGATTCCTCCAATTGATATTCTGAGATCTCATCCAATTAAAGTTTCACTTTATAAAAAAATAAATAAATAAATAAAAACATAAATAATGTTACTTGTCTGTTACAACCTTCATATGTCTATATTTAGGCTACAGCTAACAGTAATATTTAACCCAGTGTGGGTACCTGAATGTACACCACTCTTTGCTAGTTACTTGAACTGAATCTGTCTGCATTAAACAGTGCATATAAAGTTTTATATATATATATATATATATATATATATATAAAATGATGTGTGGCTGTATCATTTTTATGGTTATATGTTTATTTCATAAAACTTTGTCTTTTGAAAATAAAGTATTTTGGAATCCCTGAAAGGTGCTGCGTAGTTTGCTGCTGTTCAGTTATGTCTATTTTATTGTTTTGGGAAAAAAATAAACAAACAAATAACAAACAAACAAACAAAAAAAAAAAGATTGCTTCATTAATTGTTAAAATCCTACCTAATAACATGACTGTCTTCCACTTGAATTTTAGCAGATAGACAGATACCAAATATGTGAGTTGTAGTGTATTGGTATTCACTTTGTAATAATCTTGAGACCAGGCCTGGGCGATATCTAAAAACAGTGTAAAAATAATTATCTAATTTTTCTATAAGTTCCAGGTTAGAGCTAGCTGCTGTAGGGTAAAAACCCAGTTCTAATGCCCTGAAGTGAGCTTAAGTTCCAAAGCACGTCAGCATTTATTTTAGGTTCCATGCGCTGAAACTAAGCTTAACGTAAAGTAAAATAAGTAGAGGGTGAAAAGCCGTGGGGTAGGGAAAGCTATCATCACCATCCACTGCAGAGAGAGCCAATGGATTTGTGACGTCTCTCTCTAAAAAACAAAAAAGACTGACCATTCGGCTAAACAACCAGTTACAAAACACACACAGCAGCTCAAACACACCCTGAACTACATGCCTGTAAACACATCAAACATTAGCACTGAGCTCACAACCAGTAGGACGTGTAAAGTGTGTGAGGCAGTAATGATACTGTCACAACAAACAAACCATCACTGTCCAAAGACAAACATGTATCTCCATTTTTGTCGATTTTTATTTTTCTACATCATTTGAACAGTGACTGTCCTTTACATCCTGTGGAGATTTTATGATGAATGGATAAACAGTGATGCTCTAAAACTACTTGGAATAAAATATCTTCACACTGACTTACATTAAAAGTATAGAAGGTTTTTGCGCTTTTCTGTAAAGTTACCATTTTGGAGATACTTGTTTTGTTGAACAGTGACAATATTTAATAATTAAGCAAAAACAAACAAATAAAATATGTATTGTATAGTTCTTGTGTGCCTACATAAAAAATAAATACATAATTATTTCCTTTTGTAGCCTTTATAGAAAAGCTGTTGAGGTAATACTGACTGTTTCTCAGCCCTGCAGTGCACAAAAAAGTGCTTGCAGTTCTGAAGTGAGCAGCTGTCAGTATTTACATACATACATACATCACCTAAACCGCTTATCCTTCTGGGTCGCGGTGGCTGTCAGTATTTCATTTCTTTTATTTTGCACAACAGTAAACAGTGCTTTTATGATTTTGCTGTTCGTGTAAAGGAGAGCTTAGTTAGATTTCTGTACACGGCCAAAACTAGGTGCACTATATTAATAATAACGCTTCCTATATCATCGTGATCAGACAGCTTTATCGAACAACACATTTTATATCAGTATCACACGACCCTAGTGAACAGTTAACGCTCACGAGTTTTATGGTGCATTGTGGGAACTTTCAGGGAACAAAAGTACCAGAGTGTCACTATCCAGACATCATCCCCTGCCCAATTTGCATCGCGCATGTTGACCTCTTTCACAGCTTGCACTGTCATTACATTGTCTGACTCAGGATCAGCTTGGAGAGACATATTTCAAACACATCAGCACCACACAAGGGTTAATGCAGAAACCTCTAAGCTATCTCATTCTCCTTCTTAATTTAATACTACTTAATAATAATAATAATAATAATAATAATAATACTCTTTATTTAAACATTACTTTTCATGCCAGTGTCAGCTAAAAAAGCTTAACCTTAACACAAGAAATTATGACCACTAATTTAAAATCATATAAAAATGACAAATCAAACCAAAGAGAGTTTAAATTCAACTTTAACTAAAATTAAATTAAAAGTTAAAGAGACTTTATTAAAAGTGTGAACTGAGCTTGACTGTCTAATAAAAGGTGAACTGAGCTCCACAGTTTAGAAGCAGAATAACTGAGTCTCTCCACGTTTCCTGTATTTTACTGAAGGAGTTTGCAGAAGGTCAGTATCTGCAGATCTAAGATCATAAACAGACACACATTCAGGAGCTTCAAGGTCATTTAGAGCCTTAAAAACTAGTAGCAGAACTTTAAAATCTATCCTGAAAGATCCAGGCAGCCAGTGCAGCTCTGTCAGAACAGGAGTGATCTGATCTCTCTGTTTTTGTTAGGATACATGCTGCTGCATTTTGTACGAGTTTAAACTATGTCCTTAGTTTTATCTTTCTTTCTATCTTACTTCCGCACTACACAGGAAGCAGGAAGCCATCTAAGACTGAGCCTACACAACTTTACACATCGTCAGCACTGCTGTTGCATCACACTGACCACAATGTGCCTGTCAGTACAGCCAGCCTTAGGGTTTAATGTTCAAGTGAGCAAAGGCTGCAGATTGTAGGCCTAAAGTGATCAATATGTGTCTCTGGAATTTATTTTTTCTTCCATCCATCCATCCATCCATGCATCTATCTACCTATCCATCTATCCGTCAGTCCATCCGTCTGTCTGTCCGTCTGTCCGTCCATCCGTCCATCCATCCATGCATCTATCTGTCTATCTACCTATCCATCCATGCATCCATCCATCCCATCTGTCCATCCATCCATCATTATTGCTGCCCAGTGGAGAACCGTGACTATTAGAGCTCGGCCTTCGATTAGGGCCATCAGTGTCAAGACTCGGTTCAAACATGAGGGAAAAACGTCTAAGATAATGACAGCTTCTGTTAGCATCCCTATGAAATTCAAGTAGTTTGTTAGCGCTAAACTAACGGTGGTTTGCATGAACATTTTTTGGAAGTTCTAGGTTAAAACACTTCATGCTTCCGAAGGTTTGCGTGATTGGATCATAATACGTCTCCTAGACACACTGACCCCTGTTTATCAAAGCTGCGGTCAAATCTGATCATAAAATGGCCGGATGCAAATTTCCCCA